GAGCCGTACAAATTGCTTTCGGCAGGCTCCTGGTGGTCGCGTGTTCGGTCCTCTGATGGGATGAGCCGTCCACGCTTTCCTGTCCCCTTCTCCTCGTCATCAAGTTCCCGGTAGACTATGAATGAATCCAAGACTCGACTTGGGCTCCAGTGGATGCCGTCTGTCCATCGCTTGATACAGGACTCATGCTCTTCAAACACGAATATGTGGCCACTTCTGACGTCCATCCCTCGCCCGGATCTGGGCAATCGAGAAAGAAGTCTGGGAAGGTGGCCTTGGATACAGGCTTCAAATAAGAGAGCCGCGTCAGATGTGTTTGCGACAAAGCCTGCATAACTTGGCTGAAGAACGGGTGGTGGCTGCGTCATACTGATGGTGCAAAGCTCCTGACACAAGTGGTGCGTAGAAAAGCAAGAAAACTCAGCCCAACACCTGCGCTTTATAGTGATAGATGCAGCCCGGGATGACAGAAAGCTGGTGACAGGTCTAGGTTCGCATCGAGGCCCGTGTCCTTTGCAAAATGTGACAGGTCACGGTGTCATGCACGTCAAGGAGCTCGCTCGGTCACTGGGCTTCATCCAATTGGCCGCCGCATCAAATTGACAACCAGATCACCAATTGAACAAGTCAAAGGGCAAACAATGAAAGCGAAACCTATCTCATACTCCTTTTAACCAAAGCCAGCACTTGACGCCTCACGAAGTTACTCTAGGTCTTCACTTCCGAAAGATAGGCATAGAACAGCGGATATCGGTACTATTGGCACATAATGTTTATAGCTTTACTAAGCTTGGCGGTGCTCTTCCCTGTCAACACAGTATGTGTGAACCCACGCGTATGATTACCTTAAGACTAAAATCACCGAGCGTGAAATTTCAACCCTCCTATTTATATGATGAGAACCGCATATTCCGGTGCCTTGTGAGATTCCTTGACGTCGAATGCACCTTGGCAAGCGGGCACATTGCGACAGATTCTTCAGCCTGCACTCATCTTTAATGCGCGAGGTTATCTGGTAGCGATGCAAGCTACGTATAATTACGGGCAATAAGCTCCCACCGTATCCACATTGCTCGCAAGCATCGACTTTTACTCAGGGATAGGGCTGGAAGTATTTCTGAAAATGGGCTATTCTTTGTTGCTGTCCGCCACCATTCCAATCCGAACTACGGTCGATAGAGTGCAGTTCTCGATAGTCCTTCATGGCACAGTCCGTGTTTCAGTCGCTGCGACCCATGCTTGGCGTCGTTGACGATCGAAGGATGTAATGCAGAGCCTGGAAAAAGGTGGCGATCTTAGAGTTTGACTACAGCTCTTGGGGACGAGCCCCTCCTGAGACGCTCAGCACCGCCTGACAGTCCGACATGCCCTAAACCGATGCGGTCCATGGGCCGGAGGAATTCTATCTCTACCCAGGATTTACTATTTATCTGAGCCAGATCTGACGTTCTCCACCCGCAGCTAAGTTTCGAAAATCTAGCTTCCGCTACTTGATGTCTACTCGTGTCGACTCCATAAAATTCGACTGTAAAATGGCGATTCAGACACCAGTACTTCCATTTTTCAGTCAGCTGCTGCACAGATTCGATCCGCCATCGCATCCTTTTCCACAAGCGCAAGCGATCTGCGCCCACGACGTCTACCCACGCGCAGATGACCTGCCAAACACTCTGAATTTCCTTCCAAGGTCCTCTGATTACGGGCGCGGTGCGCAACAATTATTGCCTCTTGGTCATGCTTTCCATGCTGATAGGAGTATTGCGCCCTTTGCATCTCCCCATATCCCGTTGCGTCCGTACTCCAGGCCCGGTACAGATGATCCCGACAGAGGTATTGTGAGCAGTAAATTTGCTGACGAACACGACGCATGTCCATTGCTGAAGCGAAAAACGGAAAGCCCTGCCCTCCTGCGGTCAACGCAAGGCCGGAAGGGCGAGTTCCAACCAATGGACGCACGCTTCACAAAAGAGGGAAAGCTACGGAAGCGTCTTGCGCAAGCCTGTGATAGGTGCCGAAAACGAAAGATTAAGTGCTATGTTCAAGACCTAATTTGTGTTCGATGCGAAAGGCAAGGGGCCGAGTGTACTTTCCCGACTCGAACTTATAAGAGGAAGGCGCGAAAACGAGCCATAACGCCTACCTTCCGTCCACCTAAACATTCCGAAATTACCGGCTTCCCTCCAAGTGGTAGGACAACGATGGATATACCATCTCGCAAGCAGAACAACCGTACGTGTTCGCAGACTTACCCAAGTCTTGCCTAACAGTACGATCACCGAACCTCACTGCTCCTTCCTCTAAGGGCTGGAACTTGAAAAGAAACAGCTGCTCGACTCGTCTCGTTCTATTCGATCTTTTGTACTACGAGCCGGTCGCGTAACACCCCCTTTGCTCCAGCTCATCCCAGATCTTGACTCCGTCTGGATCGGTCGTCTCGGAAAATGACAGGAATGGTTGACGACAACGCCTGCAATTGCTCACAGGGATCAATGCGTAGTCGCTTCACTCAACGTAGCAGCAACATGGTTCCCAACGCGCGTTCTGGCGTCCCAACTGCCGCGATAGCCCCCATCACCGCTATCCAGGTCAGCAACTCCGGCGCGTACTCCCACTAGGAAATGAATCCACGCAGCCCGAAAGAATGTCTATGCTGGCATGCCAGCGTTGCGAGTGGTGGGTCGAGCATCGAGAAGACGCAACAAAAGCTGTATACCGGCCCCCCTCAGTGACAAACGCGGCCAAACGCAATCCCTGCGCGTCGTTATCCTCTGGTCATAAGCTCAGTAGCATAGATGCGAATTACTACCGGGGTCTAGCGAGCCCCCTAGGGACGTGAGACCTTGCCGTTTAGGGTATTTTGTGAACACGATATAGAGGCGGTACGGTCTGCAGCCTCTTCAAGCAAGGTCATCCGCTTCCTTTGCTTGCTCACATCCGCGGCTCTCTGTCCACAAGAACATATCGCGACTGACCCTCTGTCCCACTGGGAGCAACGATCAAGTCTTCTACCAGTCGGCTCTCCGCACCGTTCGAAAGTTTCCATAACAAAACGGCGATCGCTATTGCCGTGAATAAGGGAGGTGCAACGAACGCAATTGCCCAAGCGCGGCCGGAACCGATCCTCATATTCGCCACAATTGCCTTTGCAGGCACTGGCACAAGTGAAGAATTCATGTACGCCCCCACCAGCGCAGCTGTAAGGCCAAGCACGTCTTCCAATCCGTTTCGTGAGTTATTGAAGGCGAACATGGTCCGCTTCTTCCTTTCGACGTTGTGCCAGGCGAACTGTGCAAGAGTGTCAAACCAACCATCATTTCCGGCATTCTCATTCAAGAGCTGCCAAGAGGATGCTGCTACCTCCGCCAACAAGCCAGACAGATCAGCACCATACGACGGTGGACGTTCGCACCTGTTATCGCCCTGTGCGGCCACCAAGCGTAGTGTTGTGCCGTTGAGGGTGGCTTGGGTGCTGAGAGTCACTTCGTAAAAGGCATAGGCGTTTCTAACATCGTAATCACAGGTCACAACGTATTCCGCAGATGGTTTTCCTGGCTGGGATGACTCATGGATGGCGTTAAAGTTGTCCTCGTCTCCTATTGCCAGCGCGAGCCAAGCAGCGTATGACCCGGACGCCCCTATGACCGCCGTCGACTGTCCCACTTCGCTTCCAGTACACAAACCTTTCGACATCGCGGGTTCAGTCTGGATGTCAACTACCATGGTGTTGTTGGCAAAGCACGCGCCTTCGTCAGAGATCGCCACAAGGGTATTCGTGCCAAATTCAAGGTTGCCTCCTCGACGGCATGAAACGGGGTTGGACCGCATTACCGGCACACAGTGAGTCGTATCAATGACTTGTGAGTCGGCAACCATCATAAGCTTCTGCAGACTATCATCAAAGCCAGGCCTGAATGAGTACAACGAGTTTGGGGTGCCGATGGCAGAGCGATCAACACTGGCACCGGAGTCGGTGTACACATACTGGTCTGGCGCGACGGTATTGATTCCATAAGTAAGTCTGACCGCCCACCGAGTGGGACAGGTCGCTCCTGGTGCATTTACCCATAGCTCGCTGCCGTTTCCTAAAGGCCAAAAGTAAGTCCCATCGATTGGAGGCGAACCTGAGTCGACCACGTTCGCGCAGAACAGTCCTGGAGATCTATATGGCTCGCCGGCAGAAACTTTAGGCGTGTAGTCGTTGATAACCCTGGTTGACATGGCGGGACTAAAGCAGGTCACAATCGCTGTTGTTATCAAGGCCGCTGCCAAGTAGGATAGCTGGATATCATACCCCCCCAGTCGTTCTGCCAACGAGCCAACGCCAAGCGCAAGACGCCAGCGCGAATCGACTCTTGTGACCGTTCTCGCCTGGGCAGCCTGACTGGCCACTTCTTTGAGCCACAAAGTGCGGAGCTGTGATGTTATGAATGTTGTAATAATCGTTGCGACTATGGTGGAAATGGCTGTGTAGGTTGACCTTGTACGGCTATCATACAGTCCGTAGGAGGTGAGGTTGATTTTGTGGAAGGTGACAAAGAGCATTAATATCACCACGACAATAGACAGCACCAGAGCGCTGACCGGCGCTGCATATATGTTGCGGCGACTCATGTGAGCTATTGTATCTCGTCCGGTCACAGCACATCAGCAACATGGGCTTCCCGGCAGTCTGAGAGATTCCATGCGACTGACGTTGACCTTTATGTAAAGTTCAGCCCACATGGTGGCAGCGATCAGGCAATGGGCCGTATCCGTATTTCTTTGAACGGCTAAGGTGGGTCCAACACACCTTTCTAGTCTTGGCGTTGGCAGATACATCAAAAGATTGGCAAGGTCCGCATGGATAGTCTTGACTTCAGCACGCCAAAATAGAGGTGAAATACGACGATGGTGATCCAGTGGCTTATCCGATTGGGTCCCTCCAAAGTATCAAGAAACGACGTCTGGCTAGGAGGAAAGCTAGCCTTTTCCACGTCGCTGCATGCATGCCTCCACGAAACTATGGTGGTTGGCAGCGCGTGAAGGTCCGTGCATCCATTGAGAGGAGCGATGGCTTCGATGAACTGTGCTCCGTCCACAATCTCGAGCTGTGATTGGTTGGAAGAGTTTCCAAAGAACAGAGATCGCCAAAAGACTTGTGCGCCAGATATGAGATCAAAGAGCTGTTCGACATGTTATGAATTGTGCGCTACCAAGAGCACATCGTGAATCGTTCAACAGCGGGCCAGGTCACGTGAAACAACTGTACGATGTCTTGCACCATCTTCTTTACTAAATGCTGCACTCTTGAATTCTATAGAGATGATGTCCTGCATAGCAACAACACCATGTACAAAATAGTGACTGTCGACGTTTACGAAAGTGACAATGAGACAGCAGTTGAGAGTGCTTATCTGGAGTGACGAGAATCTGCCAGATTCATCCGGATAGATTTCGTACCGAATGCAGGATTCCCACTTATTAGTGTTCTACCATTATTTTTATCTTCTGTTGTCTTGTTGACGCATCCTGACTCTTCTGCGGCACACGTAACTTCAACAATCCCGCTTCCAGATTTGCGTGCAATCCTTCGGGCTTCACATCGAAGGGAAACGAAATGTGGCGTTGCCAAGGACCAATCCGTCTTTCACCAATGAGGAGAAACGGCTTTGTTGGTTGTGAAGATGAACCTTTGCTCTGAGCGTCGCGTGTCGGCACATCACCGGTGTTCCGAGTCTCTGGCTGAACCGACCATGCTGGTCTCTCCGTCGTGCCGCTGACGACAATCGACTTTGAGCCAGTCCACTGGCAGCTGATTTTGTCGGGATCTTTGATACCTGGCACCTCAATCTCGATCAGATACTCGTGACCGGCGTCACGTATGTCTACATCGGGGTGATTTGGGTACGTGCTGGGGTCGACTGGCTTGCGATTAAATCGAACAAGGGGCTGATGTTGATGCAGCCTTTGGTGCATGTGATCCACCACAGGATACGTTGAATAGTCCGTATATAAGGACATATCTGCCATTGTATCAGGCTGAACAGCTTCGCAGAGGTTTGTTAGAATGAGGATCTTTGTTTTGCCGTATAGACATGATTGTCGGTAAGAGATGAACGGCTTGAGACATACTTATAGACAAAAGGATCTGTCTGAAACGTTAATCAGGCCACCCTGTGAGCGTGACCTGGTATTTATCACTAGGGCCGTTCCACAGCCCTACCAATCAGCTAAAAGTATTTAGTCCACGTGGAGGATCTCTCTATGTCCTTGAAACAGCATCGGACGACAGCTTCAGATTGGTCTTTGACTGTGGCATCCTGTACAGAGTAAACGCACGACGCGGACTCTGCAATAAGAGGTAGGAATCACGTTAAAGAGGTTTAAAGAAAGTTGATGAACAAGAGCCCAACCAAGGTGGGACCTATCGCAAGGCAGTCAACAAGCTATTCTGACGGCTTCTGATGTAGCAGGAAAGATGAGGTAAACTCACAGAGCTTCTACCAATTCAGTACATTCGCAAAAGCAATGTAAGCACGAAATATCTCGATGCGCGCCGTGTGGAGGAGTCATTTCCAGATTAGGCTGGAAAGAGGCAACACTCTTCCGAGAGCGCGAACGGCAGAGCAGTATGTATCAGTCGAAATCATGTCTATACGGAAATTCGGAGAGTGACTATGGGATCAAAGGCATATCGTTGGCAGGCGTAACGTGTTGAACTCTATTCGTGGAAATCGAGGTCTATCCAAGCATACATTCCTTGAGCCCATGAACTGCTCCGGGGTGGGGGGCGTTGGAGGGAGGACGTTGGAGGGACAAGGCACTTTCCGTGTCGCTCTCCACCATCTCCACCGCTACTGATCCTGATTGGCGCAAAAAGGATAGCGTGATGCAGGACACCATGCATGGTACTAACGGATGCGTTGTAGGGTCAGAGACAATTGTGATATCCTCTTAATGGTCCGAAACATCGACATCGTGGCGTGATTGCTCACGTTAAAACTGCGGGCTATGTTGATTGACTTTTGCACTGGGACCACTCTCCTCTGAAGGAGAACTCGGATGTATTCATGCGTTCCTACTTACGCCCGCGTCCCGGTTTGAAGTTAAAGCAGAACTACAGTACATACGCGGTGCTAACAGTCCACGTCGTCATCACTGCCTCAACAATACAGAACCTGTTCACTGCAGACTTGGTCCCAGGACTGGGCCTGGCAGATCATGTCGTACTCCAAGACCGCCCCATGGACATGATCATTTGCAATCAACAAAGTACATTCTGCTCACTGCCAGCCAGGCGAATGTGCTACTTCGAAACTTCGAAACCAGTCTGGTGAGAGCAGATCGCGCCTCACCCAGGACCTAACCTCCAAGCGGCGGGACTGAATTCCATCGCGGCGGAGAGAAATGGATCAAGCTGATCTAGGGAGCGAGCTACGACCAGAACTATTTAACAGATTGATCCGGCTTTCTTGCTCAAAGTTGATCAGAAAATGGGCCTGGCCAGAGTCGCGTCTTCACCGACTACTCACTCACGTCAAGTTATACGACTTTTTAATGCTAGAGCAGATCCAATAACAAACGATTTCCTACAACCATTACTGCGACCTACAGAGAAGACTGGGTCAATTTGCCCTCGAATGGTATTCCTTGCACGTTCGAGACACACGGGGCAACGATGGACAAATCTCGACGCCCGTTCGTTCAAGGTACAACACATACTATGACGAGATACGGCAACAAAACGGCTGAATCCAAAGAACGGACAGCTTGCGGCAACGGCGGAAGCGCGTGTATATCACAGCGGTCAGAAGTGCAGGAACCCCTCAGACAGCAGAGCAAACCTACATCAAGATCGCAAAGCCGTAAATCCTGTTCTCATTCGCCTGCTCGACACCACGTTGAGCCCAATGATAGTGTGGCAGGTGCCGCAGCCTCGGTCATTATTGATGCTCCCCATGAGCATTTTGATGAACTGCTATGCTCACAGCAGCCTACGATCATGACAGCAATTCAAGAGCAGCAGCTTTGGACCCAATTGTAGCTACTTGAGGGCTTGTGACCTGCCAAAGAAGGCTTGTGATGGCCATACAAGACACGTTCAGGTAGATAGATTCCGACATTGACGTCAAGCTAGGTCTTTCAGTCGTCTGGCACCGAGTGGTAGTTTGGCGCATATCGAAGCTGAAAGCTGCGTGCAGCGAATGCTTATGAAGTCTGAGCAAGGTTGCCATCATATTCCAGATTTCGGGAGAAAGCCATCGGCGAGTTCGGGAGGAGGAGAGGCCTAAAAGTAAATCGCCTCGCATGTGATTAGCCATAACAGACGGCGCAGAACTTCTCCAGGCCAAGAACAGAGCTGACAGCCGCAACCAGAAATGATGGTGCACATGTGTACCACCACTGCAACGGAGTTTGCCTGTCAGGCAACGCATCCGGTGACATAGCTAGAGTTTTCATTTTATGGCGCACAATGTCTTTACTTCACTGCGGTAGGTGCTATGGAAAGTGAAGTTCTCGACGCTGAGGAGGGATCCGGAGCTGTCCGAGGATTCCTGGTCGGAGTTTATCGGGCTTTCCCAGCATAGCTGATCCCTATGCCAAGGCAGCTGCGCCTGCCCAGCGCGAATGCTTCCTCTTACCTATGCTGGAACCTTGCAAGCAGAGACGTCCTCATAGACGGTCGACCCGAGGGCCACATGACGGCTCGGTTGGACGCGATAGCTTGCAAGTGAGAACGCAAAAGTCTTGTCCCGAGAAGAACCGTTGACAGCCAGTTAGTTCATATATGGCACATGGGAATGAGAGACACCTGTCAGATAGTTTAGCAACATGAGACAAGCACAGTACCCAGCTTGCAGCTCACTATTACAGCTACTGCAGACGGAGATTCGGATAGCTGTGAACATGTACAACGTGGCGGATGCGGCATATGATGCTCCTGCTATCCCGCAAGTACAATCCTGTTGTCGAGTTCAACACCAAGAATATTCGCGAATGATCAGCCATTTACTAACGTGTTGAAACTAGCAGTGGCTTAAACCACTACGAGGATCAGGACGAGTTCCTTGACATTTTCGGACATGCCAGCATTGATACTAGCGTATCAATCTTTGGGAGCTATTCACGGACTTCGATTAATGCATTCGACGGCTACGAGAACGCAGTCAATATATCGTATACCGGGGAAGAGCCGACGAATGTGACCCATGGCATGTCTTTTCCAACCGACGAAAATCCATCTCTCCGGTCAATAGAGGGAAGAATGCAGACCACATTACCTGCTGGGGCCGAAGCGTGGAACAATAAATCAAGAGCACAGGAGGCGCACAGTTGCATTGCACCGTCGACAGCGCGAAGGGTGCGTCCATCGGGAGCACTCAAGACTAAGGACAACCCGAACGATAAACGACACGTACATGCATTGAGCGAGCAGAGGTATCGAGAGAACATCAATGCGCGAATTTGGGAGCTCCACGAGGCCTTGGCACGATCCAAAGGTTTTGTGTGCTCACGGCCGTTGCATGGAGAGATTGTGTTGGGAAAGATGTCCAAGAATGACATTCTATGGAACGCTATCCGCTACATCAACGAGACCGAAGTTAACATGCGCCATATGGAATGCGAAAGAGTATGTCTTGAGAAAAGGATCCAGCAATTGGAATTGACTCTTCAGCAGAGAGGTCTCGATGCCGTCGGCTTACACCAGTCATAGTTGATGACTGTGCAGATGACATTGATCAGGTCGGATGTTGAATATGTTCGAGGAAGTATTGGGCAGCAAGGCAATGGAATTGCAGCACCTCTTTGTCTAGAGGTGCGAGCTAGGTGAGGTTGCGCGACTTCTACCACTGCAGCTAGGAGCGGGTTTGACTGATTGACCACGTCGATGCACGGGCGCCGAGTACCGACCAGCTACAATCTTTAGTGCTCTACCAATGTGATGTCCAGATTGTTTGAGCCAGTTATGTAAATCAGGCGCTAATTGCAAAACCCAATGCGATTCTGGAACATGACCGAATGGAGAGCTCAGATGGACGAGCACGGTCAAGAGCTCAGACCCGGACGACGTCGGTGTACGCATCTTCACTGCATGTATCTACCACCTCACAGTATGGACATCACAACCAAAGCCACGCGCTGATCGACAACTTGCGACAAAGGAATGATCTAGAAGCAGAATGAATTATCTGGGAACTCACCACCAGTCTGAGGATTAGTTTCCAGACTCTGTGCAGTCACTAGGTTAGGGCTGAATACACAAACGTTTTGTAAGAACCGCATGGCCGCAAGCGATCACGAATGTTTGCAGTATCCAGGCCGTCGAGGTAAGCCTCCAGAGCCGTCGTCGGGTTCAAGCTGAGCGTTCTAAGACAGCGGTAACGACAAAGGCAGTCTCCCTGAGCAAGCTATTGCGGGGTTCTCAATCAGCGACAAAACAATGCCTCATGCCAGGCGACTCAGTTGTAAAGTAAGAACCCCGTGTTTTATTTCGCCTTCGGGACGAAACAATCACGCCACCGACGAGTGAGGATGCAGAGCAAGGGTATATTGCCCCCTACGCCAGCAACCGTTCCCCCGTATCATGATTAAAAGCCGCGTTTGAGGAAAGGAATCAGAACGTAACAGCGGCATTCCGGAACCTTTCATCCCTTTAACTACTAGCAAACATCATTGCTTTATTTCCCCTTTCTAACGACACTGCTTGCAGTCTAGCTGCGAGCCACATGTTCTCTTGCACAATGTGCCTGATGTCAACTTGTATTTCGCTTATGTATTCGATAGCGTGCTGCGGTATAGCAGACTTGGAGATTCGTCCTTTTTCGAGGCAGGATTTTTCGTTCGTAAGGATAGGACGGTCCGCTGTTTTCAAGACGCTCTGTAGCTCCCTTATCTTGCAGTTCAGGTGGGTCCTATATCGTCTTTCCACAATGGCGTGTTTTTGACGATAGCCAGAGTGTCTTGTATCTTCTGAAGAGCTGTAACTCGCCACAAGGCCTGAGTAAGATGTGTAAGTATGACTTCGCATACGACACCCCCTTGGACTTACGGCTCGTCTGTAATTCCTCTTCCAAGGTAAGAGGTCGATCCGACAGCGACTCTACGTTTGCATCACGTCTGAAATCATCGTCACCCATCGCTTCTGCTGATGTGGTGATCGGTAATGATTGATAAGGAAGATACGGTTGCTTCGCCGAGACATCCTGACCAGCCACAGGACCAGCGTTGTCAAGGATAATACTGCCGCTAGTATCGATCTTGTTGGCAGACAACAATCCGTAAGTTAGATGGGTTCGTCCTGATTCTGCTTCGCCAAGTCCATCTCCGTAGGCGGACTGGGTGAGAGCCAAACTAGAGGCGTTGGCAACGAAGCTGACGTTATCGTACAGAGAGATGTAAGGAATGAAACTCCCGTCGGAAGCAGGTATTATTGGTCCTGCGCCGTTGGTGTCAGGACAAGAGAATGATTCCATGTATGAATTCACAAATGATTAGGCTGTTTGCACTCTGTTATAAACTTCGAGAGCTACTCTGTTTAGAGAGCGGAGGCCAAACTATCAAAATCATAACGAAGACGGTCCACATGCCTACCACATAACAACGATCGGAGATGTGGCTTTCTGCAAAAGCACTAGAATGCTCGTCTTTGGATCTCCACACATTTGCAAATGCATCATACGAGACTAGGGTATGGAAGGGTCGGGTGTCGTACCCGGAGGAATCTGCTGGTAGGGCTATCGCTGGAGCCACAACTGAAAAGCAGTCGACTAGTCGATGCGTGTTTTTGCTTCAGAATATATCTCAATGGGTATCGCTGCACGGGATTTGCATACGGATAAGATACACCGAGATCCATGGCTTAGACGGCTTGCTGTGCGTGCAGGTGTTTTCAAAGTTGTGGGGCGCAGCTATCCTTGCCAGAACGGTTACCGCTTACAGAAAGGCTGAGTAGGCTAGTACTCCTGAATCTCGTCAAGCTAAAGAACTGTGCCAGAGAACCGTTCTCTATTCCTTGTTAGGATCACTGGTCCGGGCGCATCTCTACCTATGCAAGAAAAAAAGGCACCATATCTATCGAGACAGCATATTCTCATTTACAAAACACGCTCGCTCATACATGAGTGTAGCTATGAAACGCTAGGGACCCGCTTTGATTGTGAGGTTTCGGACTATGGATCAGGGCGGGGGCTTGGGGTTGTAGGAATGGTATTCGAGACCTCTTCCTATGCTATTGCACGCATAATGTTCTGGCTGAGTGTGACAGTGACAGTGAATAACAGATTAATGAGGAGCAGTTATATCTATTAACAGTGCCGTGCGGCATGTTTCCACTGGTTTCTGCCATTGGTAGAAGCATGCAGAAGCCTTTCATTGTTGCGGTAGCCTAATGCTAGGCTTAGAAGCCTAATTTTCGCCATGCTCTCTTATGATGTCCTAATCGGACCCATTCAAGCCCCTCGATCTTATCAGCTGGTCGCTGAACACATCGTCTTTGGCGTTGTACTCGCGGGTTCTTAGGCTCTAAATAACCTTGTCGATGTTCGAAAAAGCGCAAGTTTCTCGTCGACAGATCCGCTTTTGAGCTGGAGCTCGATACATTCATTTTAGGTTCAGGGCGAAAGATCGGCGTACGCTATTCTGAGTACTATATAGGCTTTGTCGACTATGGCCCGACTTCAATTACAACATTCTGCGCTGATGCCAATATTCACAACGTTGTGACTGAGGCTGTCCGCGGCGTCCTTTGGCGCGATTCAGCACCTGGTCTAGCAAGCCGATTCTTCAAAAGACAGGGTATGTAAGCCTTGAGCGCGGCTTCAGTAGTGATTTTAACACGAACCTCTGACCAATTATTGAGCGTCTGCAAAGCCATTCGCCCTGGCTGATCAGAATGAAATACCGTACTCGAAGCGACCGATCTGAACACAAAAGACGGACCATTGTTCTCAACAATTTACCTTGCTCGAGCTCTCGGACAATAGACAGGGACTGTACGCCACCGAGGGCTTTCCATCCATACAAGACCTGGACTAAATCATCCTGAGAGTATTGTGGACACTTCTGACAGGCTGTAGACCAGTGCTATGTGCCGATGCAAGGCCTAAAGAGCTTCGGGGATAGCTTACATTTCAGCTTCAGGCAGAGTCCCTGCTTGTTATTTCATGCCTAAACTTGACGCTAGTAAGGGTGGGGGTTCTACTCCACCGCTCCGGTATCCCCGCCGCATTTAGCCAGGATCTGAAGAAATTGAACCATACCACCACGCCACCAACGTTGCACTGATACTGGTTGACAGAAGATGGTGCTAGCTGAGATAGACAGTTGGTTGCATCTGACAAGAATGGCAAGGTGGGTAGGCTCCCTGCAAGTAGCTGTGGAAGTTTTCCTTGCTCTGCTTTTGGCTCAACGTGAATAGAAAATGCATGCGCCATCAGCCCATGGACTAACGGGCATTCTGCTTCTTCTATCATTCGCTTTCCATAGATGGGTCCACTATCATGAGAGTTCTATGTAAGACCCCGGAAGGCTCAGATGCTGATTTCCAGCATCCTTCTGCCGGCTTCGTTTTCCGCGTGTTCGAAATAAACGACTACGCATACGCAGTGACAAATTTTGGGCAGTCACCTTTCCCTGACATACTGCTGTGCCCACTGTATGTGATGGTTATTGCCGCTGCCAACGCCCTCAATTGGTGGGACTTTAGCACCTAGTTTCTCCAGCCAATACTTCAAAGTGTCAGATCGCGTTAGCTCCAAGCACAGCTTCTAGCAAATAAAAATTGCAAGATGCAGGCCCCCAAGAGTCAGCTGATCAAACAGGCAAGCGTATGCCGGGCTGGTTGGTCGGCTGATCAAATGTAACATCGTACTCGAAGCGAAGCACAGTTATAACCGCGCAAAGAGGAATTTTATCTTACGAGTTTTGCCGTCTTCGACTCATGCAACTTGCTCGCATGTGTGAAGATTCCAACTATGTCGGGGACCTCGTGCCAATTGGCTACTTTCCAGGCAACCAAAACCTGGATAACGTCACCCAGCCAAGCAGCACGGATCGTCCGCGAAGCGGGCGAGCGCCGGCACATACAGCGTCGTCCTGCGGGCGGTACTGTTGACGTGACCCGGTATAAAGACCCGCCATAGTGCGAATAGTGGGTTAATGCTGGCTCGAGGCACAAAGCATGTATCGGTCTTCTGGATGTTGTAGACCTACACAGATCTCTCCCTCCGCCGTTCCTGACAAAATCTCGATTCCAATGCCGAAAGACGATATCGACATGAGTCGACCAGTCGTCGTACAGGTCGACTATCTCAGTTTCCTTTGGACGGAAGAGGAAGTCGCCGCATCTTGGAGATATAATACACGAAGCGCACATTCGATTGACCGCACTAGACTAGTAAATGCCTGCTGGCGTGCCTGGGCCAAATCGGGCTATCGACTCGGCACTATAAATCCCAACAGCCTGCACTGGCATAAAGAAAATGACATTACTTGGCTGTACGGACCCTTTATCCGTGATAGACCAAGTCTTCTTGCAAACGCAGATGCCCTTCGCGAAGTATCCTATCTCACCAAGCCTTCATCATCGGAGAGACTGAATACAAGAAGATATCATGATGCTTGGAAACAGCAATCAGCCACAATCAAGCCAAAGAAGCAGGTAGCTTTCCTCGACTGTGGAGACGTTGATAATATTTCGGATACCGTGACTGGCCG